TCCGCTGAGGACGTAAGCAATCCCACGTAGAGTATTTGTTTTCGTCTATCTTGTTTCTATTGCAAGATCTTTTTTTGTAGTGGTAATACGAAATTTCCGACATAAATTTGATTAAATGATAACATATACTTTATTTTTGTAACTTATTACATTAGTGCCTAACATTAATATTTACTGTTTTAATATTTGAATCTATTGCTGTGCTAATCTCCACGTTGCATCAGGCTATTGAAATTAGTGGTGGCTGGAGGTGCCGCGACTTGAACGGGTCCAGCGTGTTATAATTGGATAATGGTTATAATTGACTTAATTTATTTATATCAATTTATTTAATAAATGAATATAGGTACGGTCAATAACCCATTTATGAATCATTTTGAAATTTTACTTATTATTTGACGAAATTATTGTTATTATATTGGTAGAAAATTCAAATTTATTTTCATAACACTTACTAAAAATTGAGTTTAAATGTATAATTATTTTTAAATGAGTATAAAGGAAAATGCCGAATCAACCCACTGCCCACTAATTAAATGGATTTAATTGAATATCAATTTTGACACAATTAAAGATAAAGGACGGATTTGGACGGGTCATTAGTGGGTGGATTTAGGTAGATCAATTAATATAATTTGATTATGATCGACACCTCTCTGATAGTAGGAGATACCGTGAATTGGTATTGGACTTATAGATGTCTTGAACCCATTAACGTGTGTCATTTTATCCGATAAGTCTTTTTCCCGTGGATTAACAAATATAAATGTTCCATAAACAATTAAAGAGCTACTCAAAAAAAAAAAAAAGAGAGAGAGGGAGGGGAAGACTAATAATCCTTCTTAATACCGGCCGTGCAACGCCGCGATTAGTCTAACACAACAAGGGCAATAATTCCTGTCACTCTCAGTATGCCTCCGCTCTATCAGCCATACGTTCAAGAATCCAAAGATCTCTCAAATTATGTAGAAAAGATTATTTATATATTCACTATCTTTAGTCGAAATCAAATAATATCCATTGTTACTACACAAAAGAAGTCAGATGGCGATAACACAAGAAAGCTCAGATTTGATGGGGTAAATTGACTAGGTAAATGAGTTCATGGTGGAGAGGCGCTCCAGTTTAAATCAAGCCACCTCACTAATCTTTTCTTCTTTTTCCCAACTGTTCAAGCATTTGTCCCCGTTGTGGATATTTTTTCACACATCTTGGAACATAGCGAATCTTACACGTGGCTCTTGCTCAATACAGCTTCTTCACTTGAAATAGCCAACTCTGTTCCACCACTAAAAGAAGGCCAGCACAGCAAAGTAGAATTGACACTTGATATGATGCAGCTCTGTTGAGTACATGGCCGACTTTGGGAACTGCCAAAAATAGTACGAGGCGCTGGCAGATTAGTGGCCTTGCAAAAGACGTGAATTGTTTATATTCTTTTTCATGCAAACCAAATATTAATTTAACATTTTCAACGGAATTGAAAGGCAATAAACTCTTTCGTACGCTGGAATATTGGAACTTATGTTGCGCCAAACATTGAAAACAAATGAGCTCCAGTTACAGGAAGAAATACGGGAGCTAATTTGTCCATTATCTGGCAACCCAAACAAAAAAAAAGATCTAGGGGTGTTTGTCCATCAGCAGGCATATGTGGCTATAATTCTCTTCAGTTTCGTGGTGTGAGCCCGTTTGACTTGCTATGTTTTAGAATTATTTATTTATTTATTTTTATTTGTAGAAAAATTGTTCACTTTTTTTTTTTTTTTCCACAGAGACGATAAATCTATTATATTCTACGTTAGGAGAAGGAGGCGGACCTGAAGAAATTCAAGGGTAACTCGGAGGGACTGAACTACCACCGGATCAGTACCACCCATTTGAATTTTTTTAAACAAAATAACTTAAAGCGACAATTGGTGGGAAGCAACCCACTAAGCTTTAATGCTTTGGTGATGGCCGCCGGATCAAAGGCTGGTGGTTGAAAAATTGCTTACCTAACGTGGCCAATTTTGAATGGAATGGATCATCGATGTGACAATTCTGACATATTTGCGTCGAGGGTTTTACCATTGGGATAATTTCATAAACCTCCCTTGAAATTTTTGACATGCAGCCACCTCTCTTGAGGTTTAAAAAATTATACTTACTTTCCTTGGTATTATGAAAGGATTATAATAGGCTCCATAGATCTATGACTCCTAAATAAAAAATGGATGTAAAGGAAAAAGAAATCCGCATTTTACAAATATTTCTTTATCCAATAGCTCGAACTTCATCTCATTTAATACATTATATTCAATTCCTAGATCATTTAAATAGACTGCTTGCTTAGTTTTATAAATAACCTACTAGAGGGATGCATTTGTTAAAAACAATTTCTTCACAACTTACTTAGCAAAGGAGGAAAAAAAAAAAAGAGGTCCAAATGTTAAAAAATGATGCCTTGAAATATAGCCTAAATTTTGCTGCAAAGAACTACCTTAATTTTTTTTTCTTAGTAAGTAATGCTTATATTTGATTTCTTTTGTCATTTAGTTTGTTTTGTAAATCAAATAGGCGAAATGTAGGATATTCATTAGATTTTTTGTACTTACCAAAACATATTTTGTATGGGATGTTTCTACAATTTTTCAAAACTCAAGGGAGGTGATTGCAATCATTACAAATCTCATGGAAGGCTTCTAGAATGATCCCTTTACAATTTTAAAGACTTTGCAAATATCTTAACCTCCTCCGTGTGGGAGTTTGTTCTTTCCACAAATCAATTTAGTGGACCTAAGTAGCCTGCACGTCAACTTCAGTCTCCCATGACTACTCTTCATAAGCGCAGGGGGCTGCATGGAATGAGAATGCCATCTTTGTTACGTCTCCGTGAAAAACATTTGCCCGTGAATCTTGTAAAGGAGCTTTAATTCACTGGTACGGGGGTGGAGGTCCCATGCTAATCCTGCCATTTTACGTCAAATATGTTTTGTGATTGGGAAGTGTTAACCCTATTCCCCTTTTAGTTTATCGCGCACTCACAATTTATTTCATCATGTAACGTGAAAAATGAAAATCATACCATAAAAATGACAGTGAAAGTGCAATTTAGCATTTTCCTGTGCGATTTTATTCTGCATATATGACTAATTTAAGCCTAGTGAGGCGCTCTTGTTCAGCGATTCACTTTTGGATTCAGTTGTTGATATGCACATGATCGTATGCTTGTGAATGATTTCTTGGATCTGTGGGAGATGATACGTCTGAGTAGCCAAGTGATGCAAAGCAACCCTGGTAACTGACTGTTTCGGGTTTGAGTGATATGCTTCTTTTGACTACTCCCTAATCAGGACTCTCTAATGGAATCAAATGCAACAAACAGCTAAGACCTCAGATATAATTTTCTGCTGTCAGAATATTTGCATGAATTATTTTAAGCTCCACCACAGCACACTGTTGGAAGGAGATCCAAATTTTTGAACAATGGTACCATAAGGGAAGGGATTTGGGTCTGCAACCTAGACAAGTGAAACCGTACATTCGACATTTGCATGGGACGGTCCAGATTTTTTCCAAACCTTACAATAAATCAGGATCTAATCCTCAAGGATGGACCCTTATGAAATAATTGCAGCAGATATTCTTTTGTCAGCCCCCCTAATCTTGAAGGAAGGACCCTTCTTATCAAATAATTGCAGAAGAAAATCTTGTCAGGAGCAAGAGATGTCAACATTTTTGTTAACTGCTGTTTGACTTCTAAGAGCTCTCTCGTACCGCCGGGCCAACTCCAGATATATATATATATCCTCCAACGTATAGTTTGCAAGTAACAGAGTACTGGCTTTGGTAATGATAGTTTTGATCTTTTCTCAGGAATCCACAGATTCTTCTTGTAGCGTACGTATCATATGTTGCTATTATATTTTCTAGTACCCCAAAAAATAATTTTGCATACCTTATCGTATATATATTTTTGTTGCACAACATGCTTATTATATAATTAAAAAATAAAATTCAGGTAATATGCAAGAAACTTTTTAGAGTTTCCTCCTTTTGGAAAGGTCCCATGACACGTGTATAAGAAACAGATACCATGCCTACACGGAAGAGAAGCAGCGGTTCCTGGCAGGTCATGACCAAGATTTGGCAAAAAAAAATTGTAAAGTTCAGATTTCATCTTGTACCTCGTTTTTAACATGTGTGGAACTCATAAAATTTTGTTTTAAAATTACACGTTATTAAAAATAAGGTATACCGTATGTAAACACGGTTATATCGTGTGTAAAATACACATAATCTTCGGGACAGTTGCTTCTTGCCCCGGTCCATGCCTACACATGTTAGACTTTTCGTCACCTTCCATTTTTGCACTAATAGTTCTACTTGTCTTATCACTGCTAGGCCAGCGAACAAGCAGGTAAAATACTGAAATTGACGTCAGCCCTGGAAGTTCTTACTGTAGCTTCTGTTTCCCATGGAATACATTCTAGTTGGGTTGAAGGAATTTAACGGGATTGTGTAGAGCTACAAACCATCTTGGCATTCTACTAGCGATTTGTGAGGACTGAGGAGAAGTAATCCAATTCAACACTTAAATTTAATGGATTCAGATCTCAATATATTCAAATTGTTTGATAATAAAAAATTAAACATCTGAATTAATTAAGTGACACTGAATTTTGTAGACAAAATTTGCTTCCAAAATTAAATGTTAACCTATTTATTTATCATTGAATGTGATATGCACTCAAATGTATTAGATTTAATGTTTAACAATTCAATAACTTAATAGATTCAGATTTCAGATTTCAAATTTCAAATTTCAAATTTCAGATTTCAATTTTATTAAACGCACCCTAACCTTTTTTCCCTTCCGGGGAGTAATATATTTGGTTTCATCGACGTCATCTTTTGCATCACGTGCAAATTCGTTGCTCTTAAAGAAATAGATTCGAAGAATGACGATCGTGATTTCTTTGACGGATAATTTATTTATACAAATTGAAGCGGTTCGCTTTAGTGATTAACAGCTAAAACTTTCTCAATTATATTGTTCAACTCATCCAACTCCAGGATGGTTCTTGCTTCCAACAAGAGAAATACAGACTCACCATAATATTTGGACGTGCTAAGATTGATGTTAGGCCAGTAATGTAACATACTACTGAGACTAACGAAAAGAGTCTGATACAGAACTTATTAAATCTCCAGCCAGAGCTTCTTTCTCTTGGCCCTTTAAAGTAACCTAGTGAGCAATTCACAAATCATTCTTTCTTATACGAAAGCCCCAGGTGAAAACGTTTGACCAGAGGTTTAATGCTTTCTCTTACTTTGATTATCCCGAAGAATAAGAGCCTGTATATGATCACCATTAGAAACAAGATTGCCAGATCAATCCACTTGGAGTAGCCCCTCTCAACTTGCCATGTATCTCTCAAAATTGTTTCACCATCAATCGGAGAAGATCCACCCGTCATCAACTCATTACTGGGAAATTTCAGCCCTTCAAACTCGTTCTTGTATAGGCCTTGATATGCATACCTATGGAAGGAAATGTAGTAGATTGGATATTTCCAAAATATTTTTGGCAAATCATCTGGTAAACGAAAGAAACCGCCACTCAGCATCATTACACCTTGAGTACCAGCCCCAATGATCAATCCCATTAGGAAATTTGGTACCAAACTTGCTACAATCATCATGAGGCCTTCAACCAACACAATAGAAGCAAAGAGTACCATAGTGAAGTAGAGAAATCTTTCAGTTCCCCGGTGCAGTCCTACCAGATAATAAGCAATCACTCCGGGAATGACAGCTATGAGGAACAGGAAGAGAACTGATGAAACTGTGTTGCTAATAACAAATGCTGCAACCCCGTAGTGCCCATTCAATCTTTCTCGTTGAAAAACCTGTATGCATTTACTTGTCACAAAATTAATCAGGATGGTTGTTCTGTGACAGAAATAGAGCAAAAAATGAATGTTCTTCTGACCTTTATTTCCTCCACAAATGATGGGAAACCTCCAATACTCAAGAGAGTCAATAATGATGCTACAAACATGAGCATTGAGGCTCTTGCCTGAACAAAATGGTAACAAGCATTTCTAAATAGTAGAATATGGATGCAGGGGGAAGTAAAATTAGAAAAACTGCTAAATGCATACGAAAGATTTGGCTTACATTAATGGAGTTGTAACTGTTTCCAACATTGTAGAAGACGGTACCTAAGCCAAAAGCTAAAGTGATGTATATAGCAAGACGTAGCCAGTAGTAGCCTAGGTCACGGTACATATTCACAAATGACCTCTCTGTCAGGACAAGGCACTGCATAAAGAAGCTAGCACGTCTCCTCTTCTTCGCCATCACTCGAAGTTGCTACAATATATTAATTCAACATTTGCATCTTTAAGGTTTAACATATTGAAGAATGTAAAAGGAGTTGCTCAAACTTTCATATACTATCGCTTCTAGCTTATTCAGGAGAGCTTACTTGTCCATTTATCTGTGCTACTACACTCAGGATCAGGTTATATATATCAGATGATGTGTAAGAATCGACAAGCTTATCGATCACCTCCCTTGTGGTTGTCTTTCCTTCAGCAGCTGATTCAATGTCCTACACATGGTTTCGATGTTTACTGAAATTATAAGCTTGACACCCAAAATACTATAGAGGAGTGCTGCATAACTTAGAAAAGGGCTGTTATACACTTACCTCATCGAAATCTGTGTTTATCATTCTTATATAGTGATCTGCCGGATTTTGTAGACCAGGGCAAGAGAAACCATTCCTTGCAAAAAACTAAATTGACAACAAAAATTAGTCATCCGCAATAACTATTTTCTCTCAGATCAAAGCAACCAAAAACCAAAGTCCAACACTAAACATACTCACCTGACTTGCTGCAAAGGAAGGTCCAAAGTATATGGTCCTACCCAAGGAAAGGAGACAAAGGTTGTCAAGCAGATTGCAGACTTCTGTACTAGGCTGATGCATTGATGCTATTACTGTCATCCCATATTCCTTGGCAAGTTCAACAATTCGATTCATGACATAGTATGAAGCAGCGCTATCGAGTCCACTTGTCGGCTCATCCAGGAAAAGAAGCTTCGGTCGCGTCAACATTTCAATGCAAATGCTTACTCTCCTTTTCTGTCCACCGCTGAGACCTTTGCTTCCCCAGCCTCCAATTCTGGTGTCAATACAACTCTGCAATCCCATTTCCCTGATCGTCCTGTCTGCTCTGTCTATTTTCTCTGCCTTTGACATAGTGTTAGGCAGTTGGAGCTGGGCGGAGTAGTATACAGCTTCTCTTGTGGTTAAAGTCCATGTCAGGATATTGTCTTGAGTCACATAAGCCTGAAAAAAGAAAAAGATTATACAGGGCTATACATTTAGAGATCTTTTTTCTTTAATACAGAAAAAGTATCATTTGGTAAGACTCGTACATATAGAACTTTCAAGGAATCTGTTACTAAATTTCTTTCTTTGTATTTTGATTATAATCACGCCTTCCAAAATCTGGAATGATTCAATATTTTATATAGTATTAGATAAGCACTGGCCGAACCAGAAGTCGAGTTTTTTGTTTTGGGGGGGGGGGGGGGGGGGTAAAACTAGTAAAGTTGTACACTTAGAAGGAATACTTTTACAATTTCATAAAAATCTCGGGGGGCAAAGTCTAATTTTTTAAGGATATACATGAAAATATTTAATATTTAAAAGGGATGTATAAGAATTTCCAAAATCTTGGGGGGTCAAAGTCTAATTTGTACAAAGACAAAAGCGAAATCTTTAAATTTTTAAGGAAATACAAAAAGATTTGTAAAATTTTGGAGGGCGGCTCCCCTTTCCCCCTCTTCCCCCGCCACCACCCTTTGCAAGATAAATGTCATAGTTAAATAAAGTATAATTATTTTACTTTTTTGTTAGGATTCAAATTCCAAATTATTATCGACAATTTTCTATCTTACGAGTGCCCCGAAGATAGAATTCAGATGTTGATGGAGTAATAAATGCAAGATAGCGTAGTAATCATTATTTTGTGTTTTGCATAGTTACATGGTAGATGGATGTGATTTAAGCGCAGTAACAAGTATCTAGCGGGCACTTGTTAGAAAAATCCAACATAAGAATACATGTTTAAGGCAATCAAATCAACCAATCTGAGAGGAAAGAATTTCAGACTTTGGCACGTATAAATCTGGTAAACGGTGTGTTTGTTTGTTGGTCAGAATATATTGCCTCATGCATCATTACTATAAGCATGGTGAAAGCGTGGTGCATCATTACTATATATTGCCTCATGCTGCCGTGTTGAAAGCGTGGTGAAGAAGAAAAGTATTGGTCATACCGACGTTCCATAAGCTAGCTGTTGCATTCGGCCGTTAACTAAAATTTCCCCCCTTTGCTTTGATTTTGAATCAAGCCTTCCTGAAATAAGCATACCACCATATAGAGTTGGAAAGAAGTTTAGTCTGGGTTTCATGCCACAAAATCCCCTACCATATTTGTTATTTAAGGCCTAAGAAAAGGACAAATTAATTGGGTTTTGGCCAAGCCATTACAAGGACCAAGTTTTGATGCCTTGCAGACTGAGATTTTAAAAGCAAGTAGTTGGTATAAATGTTCTTTCAAAGCAAGTAGATGTTGGATGTCTCTCTGCATACCAATTTTTCTAGAGGGAGTAATTGTTTTGAGATAACAAGGAAACACATGAATTCTGGCACGTAAAAGATTGAGCAAAAGACTCGTAGCACCTGCTAGCGCATCAAGCAGCGTGGACTTGCCACAGCCAGAAGGACCCATAATGGCTAAAAGTTCACCTGGACGTGCATAGCCCGTGAGCCCTTGAAGGATCGCTTTACACCCCTTCTTACCATTAGGAACACTAACCCACAAGTCGTCCCACGTTAAAAACACGCCTTTGCTGTTTGAGTTAGATTTACAGTAATCTGGACCAGCATTTTCCTTTCCATCTTCATGATCTCCATCCACCTCTAATGGAATCTTGATTTCTGAAACAGTAGGATGTGGCGAATTCATCAGCACATCAGCATAGTCGTCGTAGCTAAGAGGAGATGGGGAGGCGAGATTTGGAGAAGCCATGCTGAAGTAGTTTCGGGACTAGGGGAGCTAGCTAGGAATATTTTGAGGATACAATACTTATATATATAGTAAGACCCCCAATGCCATTTACGTATAATTTTAGTGGAGTAGAGAAGGAGTTGATCAGTGCGAGTAGTTTTAATGATTTACATGCAATAAATGATTTATTAGTAGATGGATTTAATCATGGTGGGCTGGAAAGTCGCCAATTGTATGGGTGATCGTGATTTCTGAAGCCGAACACAAGGAGTCCTTGTTAATGCATTAAAGCAGGTTCTTGAAATCTCAAGATGATCATGTAAATCATTAAATTGCATAGGTTTGCCACTTTCTGCTTGAAGGCAACTCGAGATCATCTTTTTATTGCAATCAAGTTGCGGGCTACCAACGCTAAAAGGATACTTACATTGCATAACTACGTACTGTTTGAAGATAAACCCGTTGTATTGAATTTACATTTGATTGAGATTGTGCTTTTGGCACGAGTACTTAATGGTATAGAGAAAACTCAGAAAGATATATCCAGCAGGAGATGTGGTCAAATCTTGGCCATGAATAGTTTCAAATGATTACTAGTTACAAATAGTGGGTGCATGCGTGATTATTCAAATTAGAGGGGCACTGGCCGCAGCTATCAGAAATCTTAAACGGAGGCTTCTGAAATTATCCCATCAAAGAATTGTCTTCTTCGTCGTATCGTACTTGAGGACTTTTGAGGTTACGCACTCTCCGCGTCGGCCTTTGTTATTCCATTCTGCGACAACTTCAGCATCAAATTAATTGAAACCTCGAAAGGCTCATTCCTCTAGGCTCGGTCTTGCAAAATAGTAGTAGTAGTTGTATCTATTCTTCACACGCATCCATCATGTGGGCACCCTAAGTAGTTAGCAGTTATTAGTAGCTGTGTTCTGAGTTTGATTGCATTTTTTGCCGGTGCCATGTTGTCATCGCAGTACTAGCTAGCGCGCTACTCTGCATGGATGGCTTCCTGTAGCCCATCCATTTAGCTGTCATCTTGGCACCCAATCAGCTTGTGCGCGTTCTTCGGATCAATGGAATATCAACTAGTGTGTCTGATGTTCTGATTTTTTTTCTTCCACAGACAAGGCAAGGAAAATGTTGTCATCGCAGTACTAGCTAGCGCGCTACTCTGCATGGATAGGCTGTCATCTTTCAGCCACGAGATCCCAATGGGCATAGACAAGGCTTAGAGGTGGCAATTTGTCCCAAGTCCCAATGGGTTACCCATGCCCATGGGGACTTTGGGCGGGATGGGTATTGGATTTTGATATTGGGTTTAAAATGGGACAAATCCCAATTGTACCCATTAATTGATGGGAAATACTTGGGTACCCATTGGGCTCAAATAACAAGGGCTCTGTTTGGTTTAGCTATTTTTGGGGGGTATTTTTGAAATATTTTATTATAGCAGTGTATATGAAAAATTTTTACTATAAAATTTTTTTGAAATATTTGATATACTAATATGGATGGGATGTTTTTTGAGTTATTGTATATTACTGTAACATTGTATTTGAAAAACTTATTTTTTGAAAAAATTCCAAACGGAGTCTTAGATTAAAAAATTATCTTTAACAATTTTTATAGTCATACTAGAGAATATAATCTAGTAGTTTTCCTAGTCATTATCCACAAGAATTTTCAACATTTCAGTCAATTTAGACCTGTCATCTTTGGACAATGATGAGGATAAATATTCAACACCTTAAGTACCTTGGTCATCTTGATATATGTTGGAATATGACTGTATATCTATTTTTTCCTTTATTTGTTAATCCAATTTTTTATGGGAATCCTGAGTATAAAGCACTTGCATGTTTATTTAATAAAACTAAAAAAATTTAATAAATCAAAAATATTAAAATTATATAAAAAAATAAAAATGAATTAAAGGAAAAAAAATATGTAGAAAATAGATTTGGGTATTGGGCGGGATCAATCTAAACCCATCCCAAAGTGATCCCGCCCAAGTTAGTCCCAAAACACATATGGGTAAGGTTGGGCCCAAATCCATATGACTCGGTTCCATCACAAACCCAAGCACATCCCGCCCATTTTGCCACCTCTAGTATAAATCATGATTATTGATGTATACACAGGGATATTAATGAAAAGTTTTTAACGCTCAGCAACTTAGAGCTAACTGAAAATGGGAAGATGTTTAATTGCTGTTTGCCTTATTGGGCGTCCAGTGATTCATTTTCTCACTGAAGTGACCTCTAAACAACAATCTTGGGACTACCCTCCACCAGAATTAACAGGTTAGATTAGACAGCAACAAAAGTTGAAATCACATGGTCCGTCCAAGTAACTAGGCAACTCACCAGATTTTGCACTACTTCTAAGGTGGTTCCGTTTGATAAAATTGAATCTGAATTCAAAAGTCTGAATTTTGAAATTTGAATATTGAAATAATTAATTTGCTGAATTTTAAGCACTGAAAAGACATATATGAAAGTTTGAATTTCAATACCAAACCGATTTATACTATTTGATAAATATTTATAACTGAATGTTTAATAAATTTAATTTGACAATTTTGCCCTTATATCTTTTCATTCAAAAAGAAATAGAACCTATGATTTAATTAACTTAAAATTGTTAGGTATGAAAATGACAATATTTATTTTTTAAATCAAATTAGTATAAAAGATGAAATATAGTGTATGAGGAGTATGGAGAAGATGTGAAAGTCATTAAAAAGGGAGAAAAGAAAAACAAAAAATCGTTAGATAGAAAATATCAAGTTGTTTAATTAGATAAAAATTTTGAACATAATTAACAAACAATGGTAGTTTTGGTAGATAAGATAAGGTAGTTGAAGTAATTCTATTGATTATTATCAGAATTAAGCATGCAGTTAGGATTCTTGTGCTGAAAAAAATACACACAAGTTCAGCAGATGGATTTTTATTTATTAAACACTCGAAACATCTGAATGTTTGAATAGGTTCAGTTTCAACAATTTTTTATGTTATCTAACAGACCATAAATCAAGTTAGATGCTTTTTCGTCAATCTCTGAGGATACTAAAGACACCAGAAGTGATGGAATCTCAGTTAGTTACTATTGCACTTCTTAGAAACTGTCAATGCCATCTACTCGTGTCATTCTACCCTACCTGTTGGTGGGAGTTTGGAATTTACAAACTGCTGCTTCGTGCTAACACAACCAACCAACGGACCTCATTATAGCTATGTTTTTAGAATCGGACCAGATATCGATTCGGTCGAGCTCAGGGGTCAATGGGTTCAATCGGATTCGATAGGGGTTGAACCGGATAACGTCATAAATAAAATTTATTAAAAATTAAAATATTATATGTAAAATACTTAATAACATGTTAATATTAATAAAGGTATATTCATATATATATTTGATGTTTCAAATATATTTAATAAGAAAATACAAATAAATTAGAGCAATCAAGTAGCAATTTATATTATTTAATAAGCATTAACAAGTTTAGAATTAAAATTATGGATTTAATTGAAAAATAACACCAAACTTTAAGACAACATTTATAAAGTATGAAATATTTGAAATATGTAAATAATTTTTAACAACTTAAGGATCAAAACATCATATTAAAAATATTCTGCCCTTTCAAAAAAAAAAAAAAAGAGACCCGGTTCATTTTTTCGGTCAAACTCGGGTTTTGACCTGGTTTGACCGAATTTTTGATTTCCCGATTTTTAGGATTAACTCGGACCGACCAACTTGCCGGTTCCCGGTTCGATCGGTCGAACCGGCCGGTCCGGTCCGAGTTTAAAAACAGGGCATTATAGTGCGAGCCTGATAAGTTAAAACTTTTCTGCAATCTTGATAGTCCCAAAGAGTAGGAGTCTGTACAATCACCATTCCAAATAAGATTTCCAGATCAATCCACTTGGAGTAACCCATCTCCACTTGCCAGATATCCCTCAAAATAGTTTCACCATCTACCAGATTAGAAGATCCTCCGGCCAACAGATTTTTGGGAAATGCTAGCCCTTGGAATTCATTCTTGTATAGTCCTTGATATGCATACTTATGAAAGGCAATGTAGTACATCGGATATTTCCAAAAAATCTTTGGTAAATCACTTGGAAGTCGAAAGAAACCGCCGCTTAACATCATTAAACCTTGAAGTCCAGCACCGGTGACGAGTCCCATGAGGAAATTTGGCACTATGGTCGCCACAATCATCACAAGGGTCTCAACCAACATAAGACATGCAATGAGTACCATTATGAAGTACAAAAATCTGTCACTTCCCTGCTGAAGTCCAACAAAGGTAATAAAAAATTGCTCCAGGAATCATAGATATTAGGAGCAAGAAAGGAAGTGAAGAAACTGTATTGCTGACAACAAATGCTGCAACACCGTGATGCCCATTTTATCTTTCACGCTTGAAGACCTACACATGTTAATTAGGCAAAACATATCCAACAGATTGTTCCGGGAAATCATAAAGTTGATAATAAAATGAATGGTCTAACCTTTATGTCTTCCACAACTGATGGGAACCCTCCAAGAGCCATGATGGTTAATAACGATGCTACAAACATAAGCATAGAACCTCTGGCCTAAACAAAAATGGGAAACGTGAATATCTGAGAACATTAAAAATTCATGGCGTGAAACTCCTACCTAGTCAATAGAAACACTGATGATTGAACTTACATTGATGGAGCTGTAACTGTTTCCAACATTATGGAACACGGTACCCAACCCAAACCTAATGCAATGTATATACCAAGGCGCAACCAGTAGTACCCTACATCACGGTACATATTCAGAAATGACCTTTCAATGAGGATGAGGCAGTGTATAAAGAAGCTTGCGGGGCTCCCCTTCTTCTCCATCGTACCAGTGCTCTGCACCTCATAAATGAGAAATTTAGCATGTCAAAGAATATTCAATTGTTAATAAACATCGCGCAAGCTTTTCTTTT